CAAAAATAACAGACAACTATTTTGTGCACAAAGGTTACACTGCAAGCAATAGGTATGTCTGACTAAGGTATGTCCAGTATGTCCATCGATAAAAATTAAACATAACTACTAAAACTCTCGAATCCCGACCTCCTTGCTTTTATGTATCGTGTAAAACCAAGTAACGTATGGTTAGGACATCGTTAATTCTTTGATTTAATGTATTCGTTCCGTTTGTATCGAACTACGCATAACACGATATAACTCAATAGTCCACATAAACTGGGCCTGTTTATGTATGGTCGACCATGTGACTTAAATAAATCGAACTCCGTAGGTTTTGTTTAATAATACGCGTTAACTATTATATGGGGAATTATATGTTTATCCCTTTTCAATAAAGCCAGATTCCTCCCAGATTTGCTCAACCCTGATACAATGCGTCCTTTCTTCCAACTGATGGGTTATATTGGCGGAGAACCCCATGAATAACGCGTGACGTCAAATTACGGAGCGCGGTCAATATATGAACTTCCGTTTCTACAGGTAGTTGCCATGACTGAATGGCCCTGTACAAGAGTGCTGGAGGAAGATATGACGAGTAACCGTGATATCGACCTTTCTACTACACCCTAGAGAGGAAGTTACAAAAGATTATTTCACAGAGTTTTGTATTCAAATGCCTGCTTTGCATTCTCACTGACAAAGTGTTTCCAACCAGGTAGAAAAGCAAGATAAATATTTGTAGAAAATATATACTCATGTAGATTGGCACGGGTGGTTCAACAGTCAAAGGCGTCGCTATTCGCAGTGTAGAGTTGTGTCGCTTTGGTACCCCGTGATCCCATGATCGAAGGTTTGAACCCTCGTTGTCGCCGATTATGTTTCAAGACTTGTCAGCATCGTACCCGTTCTCTTTGAATTCACCAACGCCGTAGCGTCTTAGATCTGCATCTCAACAGCCTTTCCTCTGGCAGCATTAAGTTAACACGCTGTGGTATAACTGGAATACTGCTTAAAGCTACCCGTGAAGGTCCGGGTTAGAATATTAATCTTCAGTAACCCATGCTTATCGTAAGAGGCGACTAACGGAATCGGGTGGTCAGGCTCACTGACTTGGTTGACACAGTCATGTCATCGGTTCCATATTGCACAGATCGATGCTCATGCTGTTGGTCACTGGATTGTATTGTCCAGACTCGATTATTTACAGACCGCCGCCATATAGCTGGAATATTGCTGAGTGCGGCGTAAAACTAAACTCACTCACTCACTCACTGCTTAAAGCGGCGTTAAACCCAAACTCACTCTTTCTGTATAGGACATGGGTAGAAAACATTTAGACGACTAATTGTGAGTTTTAAAACTTCATGCTTATCACAGAAATCATTCCACATAGGCAAGTCAAGTTAAAGTCCTCTTGGACCTGCCTCATTTACAGTAAAAACCTGTACTGAGATATGCATATGATGGCTCCATGAAAAACACATACATAGTACTTGATGATGCTTTACATGAAACAGGGTATATCAACAGATTGGTCATCCTGGCTCAAAATACAGTTTCAGTCAGCATTGACTTGTCTTTCCCGATCGACTGAATATTTTGTATGAGTTATAATGGCCATTCCTGTCTTTTCTTAAACGACTTCTAATCCTGTCACCTGACCTGTATGTAATCTACACTCATCATGTACTGTCTGTCGACATGACAACTACCACGACGTCTAACATGTTGTGAAGTAAAGGGCTTTAAATGATATTGACAATATCGATTAAAACCATGACATGTTTACATACACTAACATTCCTTAACATTTTCTTTATGTATCTGATAAATATATCATATCAGTATAAGGTAACCATAGTGATACCAGACACCAGACCAGTCTGGATATAAGTAGGGTCTGTTTCCCAGCTACAGAGATCTAAAGAAGTGATAAACAGCAACACAAGGATTGTGGACATGGTTTGGTAAAATACGTTATATTGTAAGACACATGTACAATCAAGGCGTTGGAGAGGACCTCAAGTAGGTTTTCAGTTAAAACAATATGAGTAGGAGTGTTCAAAGTCAGGTGTCTATTAATAATACTGAGAGATTTGCATTGTTATATGATGTTCTGGGTGACGTTTGAAAATGTTGAATTTAATTTTTAATGCACATTAAATGAGTACATGTTACGTATATCTAACCAACACAAAGATTGATATTCACCTGAATAACAAAGTGTTGTATATACCTGACCAACAAAGCATGCATATACCTGACCAACAAAGTTTGGTATATTCCTGACCAACAAGGATTGGTATATTCCTGACCAACAAAGTTTGGTATATACCTGACCAACAAAGTTTGGTATATACCTGACCAACAAAGTGTTTTATATACATGACCAACAAAGTTTGGTATATTCCTGACCAACAAAGTTTGGTATATACCTGACCAACAAAGTTTGGTATATTCCTGACCAACAAAGTTTGGTATATTCCTGACCAACAAAGATTGGTATATACCTGACCAACAAAGTTTGGTATATTCCTGACCAACAAAGCATGGCATATACCTGACCAACAAAGATTGGTATATACCTGACCAACAAAGTTTGGTATATTCCTGACCAACAAAGATTGGTATATACCTGACCAACAAAGTTTGGTATATACCTGACCAACAAAGTTTGGTATATACCTGACCAACAAAGTGTTTTATATACCTGACCCATAATATACCTTGACTTACAAAGTGCTTATATATACCAGACCAACAAAAAGTGTTTGGTATATACCTGACTAACAAAGTTTGGTATATACCTGATTAACAAAGTTTGGTATATACCTGACCAACAAAGTGTTTTATATACCTGACCAACAAAGTGTTTTATATATACCAGACCAATACCTGACCAACAAAGTTTGGTATATACCTGACCAACAAAGTTTGGTATATACCTGACTAACAAAGTTTGGTATATACCTGACCAACAAAGTCTGGTATATACCTGACCAACAAAGTGTTTTATATACATGACCAACAATGTTTGGTATATTCCTGACCAACAAAGATTGGTATATACCTGACTAACAAAGTTTAGTATATACCTGACTAACAAATTAAAGTCTGGTATATACCTGACCAACAAAGTGTTTTATATACATGACGAACAAAGTGTTTTATATACCTGACCAAGAAATGGTGGTATATCCCTGACTAAGAAAGATTGGTATATACCTGACCAACAAATTAAAGTCTGGTATATACCTGACCAACAAAGTGTGGTATATACCTGACCAACAAAGGGTTTTATATGCATGACGAACAAAGTGTTTTATATACCTGACCAAGAAATGGTGGTATATACCTGACTAACAAAGTGACCTGACTAAACAAAGTGTGGTATATACCTGACCAACAAAGTTTGGTATATTGACCAACAAAGGGTTTTATATGCATGACGAACAAAGTGTTTTATATACCTGACCAAGAAATGGTGGTATATCCCTGACTAACAAAGTGTGGTATATACCTGACCAACAAAGTGTTGGTATATACCTGACCAACAAAGTGTGGTATATACCTGACCAACAAAGGGTTTTATATACATGACGAACAAAGTGTTTTATATACCTGACCAAGAAATGGTGGTATATTCCTGACTAACAAAGTGTTGTATATACCTGACCAACAAAGTGTTGTATATACCTGACCAACAAAGTGTTGTATATACCTGACCAACAAAGTGTTTTATATACATGACCAACAAAGTGCTTTATATACATGACCAACAAAGTGTTTTATATACCTGACCAAGAAATGGTGGTATATTCCTGACTAACAAAGTGTGGTATATACCTGACCAACAAAGTGTTTTATATACCTGACCTCGTTCGTTTGTGCACCGAAATATTTGTAGTACATTTAACAAAAAGACAAACTCCCCGGGATTGAATATGTGGACATGTACATTCCATTGTCACATGACCTACAAACTGTAGCAGCGCCACCTTGTGAGAGGGTATCATTCTCTGATCCAGTTTGAAGTTTTGCGCTATCAATAGTGTTGAACAATAGAGGAGGTTGTCTTACAAGGATGTGTTCTGCTTGAGATGCTGCATACATCTGACGACTTCTGTAGAGCCGTGTGACATCTCGCTGTATCGTAATACAATACTTCCTTCCCTATTATATTTAACTTTTGAATGGGGTAGTCACGAACATGTTTACCTCACACTGGGGACGTAATAAGGTTTGAGTTTAAGCGCTTCAGAAATATTACAAATTCTTTATGGCGATGTTTGGTTGATTTGGTGATACACTGATAAGGACACCATATCGAGATTAGGACTAAGACCAAATTTCATTTATCAGAAGGCAACAAGTGCAGTGTTCTACGAACCAGTTTTCAAAAACAGATATTCGATTTGAAGATTATGAGACTTCCAGTGACTGTTCAATCATTATGGAACTAATTGTAAACTGTAAATAAAACTTGCAAATTAAATGTGTTATTGCAGCACAACTTGTACGGTACTTCCTTCATGTGAAATGGTTTGATCGGATAGTCCAGTAACTATCAAAATATTGTGAAAGATGTGTTTCCAAAATGACTAATGAGGTAGCACATGTGTACATGCTCTAGGCAGTGTATGCATGTAGGTCTGACCACCTCTGTGTACTGTGTGTAGGATCACAGAGACAGTCCTGTCTTTTTGACGTACAACAAGATAAATCACCACCTGGCTGACGTGCAAAGACGGGATAATATATGTATCTATGAATGTGTGCATGATACTGTTCTGCTGGCGGTATTAATGTTAAGAAAGGAAGAAGGTAAGTTGATATGTGGACAGTATGGAGTTCGCAGTGAGCAGCAGACTGCATCAGTTTACCTAGCTGAGTTGTTATTATGCTTGACGTCCTGTGACGAACGCCATAGAAACTGTATTAATGACTGAACGTCTGTATCGTAATCAAAGTACCTACCCAGAATATGAATACAGTTAATCAATTTAAGAACTCACCTGTGTGACGTCACAGCGCCGTGGGGGAAACCCTCCCTTGTCACTCAGGGCAGCTGCAAAATGAAATAGAAAACATAAACGAGTGTGTTAAAGATGCGATAGAAAGTGACAGAAATCACGTCCATGTTACAGGTGCACTCCAAACTATTATAATCGGCCGGAGTTACAGAAGCATCATTTGACTCAGACCAAATGCATTCCGGGTACTTTGAAGCTTTTCAGTATAAGTTGCTGTGTCGAGAGCATCCAGATAGAGAAGGATATCGCCAGCACGGGTTTACCGGAAGTATCTGGACAGAGGAGAGATATCACCAGCATTGGTTTACCGGAAGTAACTGGACAGAGGAGAGATATCACCAGCATTGGTTTACCGGAAGTATCTGGACAGAGGAGAGATATTACCAGCATTGGTTTACCGGAAGTATCTGCACAGAGGAGAGATATCACCAGCATTGGTTTACCGGAAGTATCTGGACAGAGGAGAGATATCGCCAGCATTGGTTTACCGGAAGTATCTGGACAGAGCAGAGATATTACCAGCATTGGTTTACCGGAAGTATCTGGGGTTTACAGGAGTATCTGATATTACCAGCATTGGTTTACCGGAAGTATCTGGACAGAGGAGAGATATTGCCGGAAGTATCTGGTTTAGAGGAGATATTACCAGCATTGGTTTACCGGAAGTATCTGTTGTGTCGAAATGGAGGAGAGATATCACTAACATTGAATAAACTGGACTGTCGAGGTAGAGGAGAGATGTCACTAACATTTAGCAAACTAGAGCGTCTTGATAGCGGAGAGATGTCACTAACATTTAGCAAACTAGAGGGTCTTGATAGCGGAGAGATGTCACTAACATTTAGCAAACTAGAGGGTCTTGATAGCGGAGAGATGTCACTAACATTTAGCAAACTAGAGCGTCTTGATAGCGGAGAGATGTCACTAACATTTAGCAAACTAGAGCGTCTTGATAGCGGAGAGATGTCACTAACATTTAGCATACTAGAGTGTCTTGATAGCGGAGAGATGTCACTAACATTTAGCAAACTAGAGGGTCTTGATAGCGGAGAGATGTCACTAACATTTAGCATACTAGAGTGTCTTGATAGCGGAGAGATGTCACTAACATCTAGCAAACTAGAGGGTCTTGATAGCGGAGAGATGTCACTAACATTTAGCAAACTAGAATGTCTTGATAGCGGAGAGATGTCACTAACATTTAGCAAACTAGAGCGTCTTGATAGCGGAGAGATGTCACTAACATTTAGCAAACTAGAGCGTCTTGATAGCGGAGAGATGTCACTAACATTTAGCAAACTAGAGCGTCTTGATAGCGGAGAGATGTCACTAACATTTAGCAAACTAGAATGTCTTGATAGCGGAGAGATGTCACTAATATTTAGCAAACTAGAGCGTCTTGATAGCGGAGAGATGTCACTAACATTTAGCAAACTAGAGTGTCTTGATAGCGGAGAGATGTCACTAACATTTAGCAAACTAGAGCGTCTTGATAGCGGAGAGATGTCACTAACATTTAGCGTACTAGAGTGTCTTGATAGCGGAGAGATGTCACTAACATTTAGCAAACTAGAGCGTCTTGATAGCGGAGAGATGTCACTAACATTTAGCAAACTAGAATGACTTGATAGTGGAGAGATGTCACTAACATTTAGCAAACTAGAGGGTCTTGATAGCGGAGAAATGTCACTAACATTTAGCAAACTAGAATGTCTTGATAGCGGAGAGATGTCACTAACATCTAGCAAACTAGAGCGTCTTGATAGCGGAGAGATGTCACTAACATTTAGCAAACTAGAGTGTCTTGATAGCGGAGAGATGTCACTAATATTAATTTACCGAAATGTCTTGATAGCGGAGAGATGTCACTAACATCTAGCAAACTAGAGGGTCTTGATAGCGGAGAGATGTCACTAACATTTAGCAAACTAGAGCGTCTTGATAGCGGAGAGATGTCACTAACATTTAGCAAACTAGAGTGTCTTGATAGCGGAGAGATGTCACTAACATTTAGCAAACTAGAATGTCTTGATAGCGGAGAGATGTCACTAACATCTAGCAAACTAGAGGGTCTTGATAGCGGAGAGATGTCACTAACATTTAGCAAACTAGAGCGTCTTGATAGCGGAGAGATGTCACTAATATTAATTTACCGAAATGTCTTGATAGCGGAGAGATGTCACTAACATCTAGCAAACTAGAGTGTCTTGATAGCGGAGAGATGTCACTAACATTTAGCAAACTAGAGCGTCTTGATAGCGGAGAGATGGCACTAATGTCTTGATTTCACTAACATCTAGCAAACTAGTCTTGATAGCGGAGAGATGTCACTAACATTTAGCAAACTAGAGGGTCTTGATAGCGGAGAGATGTCACTAACATTTAGCAAACTAGAGTGTCTTGATAGCGGAGAGATGTCACTAACATCTAGCAAACTAGAGGGTCTTGATAGCGGAGAGATGTCACTAACATTTAGCAAACTAGAGCGTCTTGATAGCGGAGAGATGTCACTAACATTTAGCAAACTAGAGGGTCTTGATAGCGGAGAGATGTCACTAACATTTAGCAAACTAGAATGTCTTGATAGCGGAGAGATGTCACTAACATCTAGCAAACTAGAGGGTCTTGATAGCGGAGAGATGTCACTAACATTTAGCAAACTAGAGCGTCTTGATAGCGGAGAGATGTCACTAATATTAATTTTCCGAAATGTCGAGATAGAGGACAGATATGTCACTAACATTGTTTAACGAAGTGTCGAAATAGGGGAGAGATATCACCGGCATTGCTGAAACAGGAGCGTCGAAATGGAGGAAAGGTGTCACTAACATTGATTTAACGAAATGAGGAGATAGAGGAGATATATCACTAACACTGAATAAACTGGACTGTCCAGGTAGAGGGGTGATGTCACTAACATTGATTTTCCTAAATGTCGAGATAGAGGAGAGATGACACATTTAGTTTTATCGAAATGTCAGCATACAGGAGGAGTCTGAGTAATCTCACTTTTTATGGTTTGGTGACTAAACTATCAACGACCTCAGTGACTCGGTCCTATACGATGCTTCACGAACACTCGTTAACGTTAGTGTTTGCAATATACAGGACAAATAACGTTCTGTGGACGATCCATCAGCGTATATTTACAGAACATTGTTGTAAGATACGTCGTTAGACACACCTTTCGTAACCCAGACAGATGTTGACAGACTCCAGCTGAACTCTGATATACTGACAGACATTGACATCTATATACCTGATCACAATCACACACATGCAAAACATACACATCCGTGTGTGTGAATGTGTGTCTTCTCTGGAGATTTTAGGTTTAGTTCTTTGTTAGTTATACACCGGCGGCGTTGCTTGGTGAACTCTAATTGGAAATGAGGATTGCGACATTGATAAAAGTCTAAATAAACCGCGGTATCCGTCGTTTGATCGTAATAATTATATCATAACAGATGTTATCGATCCATGGAAATACTTTATGATCAATACATTATTTATTTTGCCAGTTTACCTATTATTTATCATAGCGCTTCATTTACGAATGAGGTCAACATGGCGAAGCTCAATCACGTCCAAATATGCCTTACCTTAATGCTTAATGCTAGCTGATGAAAGGAGCGTTCCTCGACTATATAGAAGGTGTTCCTAAACTCATATGCAATGAGTACGTGTTCCTAATGCAAGGCTAAGCATGTTCATTGTATGAATGTATATAACTTTTCATAAGGTAATGCCTGCCAGCAAATGTTCGACTCATTCATACAGTCGTGGTTATGCATTGAGTTGTGTCATACGCTCTTACACTCAATAGAAATACTTTAGTCAAGGTCATGAGCGGCGTTACTGCAAGCAATACAAAAGCACAACGCACAAAACGACATACGCAAATGTCCTGAAGACACAATACTGTACGTTAATCAACATATATCAAGATAGACGAGAGTGTAACGGTGCCGGATTTTGTGTTGCCGTCGGCTCACGCTGCTGTGATCATTATATTACATAGTCCTATATACCGTGAGACGGGCTTGTAAATGTGGTGGAGGTACTCATGTTACGACGTTTATTGTCCCGGGCTAAGTCTGTGACAACAATAGCTCTCAAGCTACTGAACGCTGATGTGTTTGATGTACTTATGGTACCTATAGACTCAGATATATGTACGGGACAATTGTAAAACATTACGATTGTCATTCCGACAAATATCATGGCAATAACATGTCAACATTATGTGTGTCGCTCTCTGGGATAAGGGACATACTTGTGTGTTGGGATAATATAGATCTCCCTTGGGATAATATAGAAGTCCCTTGTTAGTAATGGACCTGTGTTGGACAGAAACACGTGTGTAGCACCGAAAATTATTTTTTGGGGGGTGAGAACACGGTGACTCCTACACCCTGATCTCTTCTACACCCTGATGACATCTCCACCCTGATGTCTTCTACACCCTGATGACATCTACACCCTGATGTCTCCTATACCCTGAAGACATCTACACCCTGGTTCTTCCTACACCCTGATGACTTCTACACCCTGATTCTTCCTACGCCCTGATGACATCTACACCCTGATGTATCCTACACCCTGATTCTTCCTACACCCTGATGTCCCCTACACCCTGGTTCTTCCTACACACTGATGACATCTACACCCTGATGTCTCCTACACCCTGATTCATCCTACATCCTGATGACATCTACACCCTGGTTCTTCCTACACCCTGATGACATCTGCACCCAGGTGTCTCCTACACCCTGATTCTTCCCACACTCTGATGGCATCTGCACCCTGATGTCCCCTACACCCTGGTTCTTCCTACACACTGATGACATCTACACCCTGATGTCGCCTACACCCTGATTCATCCTACATCCTGATGACATCTACACCCTGGTTCTTCCTACACCCTGATGACATCTGCACCCAGGTGTCTCCTACACCCTGATTCTTCCCACACCCTGATGGCATCTACACCCTGATGTCCCCTACACCCTGGTTCTTCCTACACACTGATGACATCTACACCCTGATGTCTACTACACCCTTATTCTTCCTACACCCTGATGACATCTACACCCTGATGTATCCTACACCCTTATTCTTCCTACACCCTGATGTCTCCTACACCCTGATGATCTTCCTACACCCTGATGACATCTACACCCTTATTCTTCCTACACCCTGATGACATCTACACCCTGATGTATCCTACACCCTTATTCTTCCTACACCCTGATGTCCCCTACACCCTGATTCTTCCTACACCCTGATGACATCTACACCCTGATGTCTCCTACACCCTGATTCATCCTACAACCTGATGACATCTACACCCTGGTTCTTCCTACACCCTGATGACATCTGCACCCAGGTGTCTCCTACACCCTGATTCTTCCCACACCCTGATGGCATCTACACCCTGATGTCCCCTACA